TCACATTCTTCTCAAGTGCACATGGAACATTCTCATGTTAGGACACAAACTAAGTCTCAAAAAGTTCAAGAAGATTGAAATAATATCAAGCATCTTCTCAGATCACAATGGCATGAAACTAGAAATCAATTGCAACAAGAACATGCAAAGACATTTGAACACATGGAGGCTAAATAGCATGCTATTAAACAATGAATGGATCACCAAGGAGATCAAGAAAGATGTTAAAAACTTCCGGGAATCCAATGAAAATGAACACACAACACAAAACCTATGAGATACAGAGAAAGCAGTTCTGAGAGGGAAGTTCATAGCACTACAGGCCTACCTCAAGAAGCAAGAAAAATCTCTAATAGACTATCTAACCTCACAACCTAAAGAACTAGAAAGCAAACAAAAAGAAAACCCCAGAGCAAGTACAAGGAAGGAAATAGTAAAGATCAGAGCAGAAATAAATGGCATAGAGACCAAAAAAAACAATTCAAAGGATCAATGAAACAAAGAGCTGGTTTTTTAAAAAGATAAACAAGATTGATGGACCCTTAGCTAGACTCACCAAGAAACAAAGAGAGAGAATCCAAATACACAAATCAGAAATGAAAGAGGAAAAGTAACAACTGATACCACAGAAATACATTAGATCGTTAACAACTACCATGAACAATTATATGGCAACAAATTTGACAATATAGCGAAATGGGCAAATTTCTAGAAACACATAGTCTCCCAAAACTGGACAGGGAAGAGGTACTAAACTTGAACAGGCAATAACAACAGAAGAAATTGAAGAAGTAATCAAGACTCTCCCAGCAAACAAAAGCCCAGGCCCGGATGGCTTCACGGGGGAGTTTTACCGAACATTCAAAGAAGAACTAATACCCATTCTCCTCAAACTATTTCAAAAAATTCAAGAAGAAGGAAGCCTTCCAAACTCGTTTTATGAGGCCAGCATAATTCTAATTCAAAAACGAGAACAAGACATTACAAAAAGAAAACTACAGGCCAATATCCCTGATAAATATAGATGCCAAAATCCTGAACAAAATACTAGCAAATCGGATCCAGTAACACATCAAAAAATTACTCACCATGACCAAGTGGGATTCATCCCAGGGATGCAAGGCTGGTACAATATTCGCAAATCAATAAATGTGATATACCAAATAAACAAAATGAAGAATAAAAACCACATGATCATATCAATAAATGCTGAAAAAGCCTTCGACAAAATCCAGCATCCATTTCTGATAAAAACACTCAGCAATGTGGGAATAGAGAGATCATATCTCGACATAATAAAGGCCATATATGAAAGGCCTACGGCAAAAACTAAAAACATTTCCCTTAAGAACAGGAACAAGACAAGGATATCCACTTTCACCACTTTTTGTTTTAATCCTCACCCGAGGATATTTTTCAATTTTTTGTACAGATAGAGTGGGAGGGAGAGAGAGGAAGGGAGAGAGAGACAGAAACATCGACGTGAAGGGACACATCGAGTGGCTGCCACCCACACGACCAACCAGGGCCGGGGACAAACTGCAACCGAAGTACATGCCCTTAGCGGGAACCGAACCCGGGTCTCTCCAGACCGCAGGCCGACGCTCTAACCGCTGAGCCAAACCGGCCAGGGCACTTTCACCACTCTTATTTAACATAGTACTGGAAGTCTTAGCCACAGCAATCAGGCATGAAGAAAAAATAAAAGGGATCCAAATTGGAAAGGAAGTGAAACTGTCATTATTCACAGATGACATGATACTATACGTAGAAAACCCCAAAGATTCCATCAAAAATTTACTAGACTTAATAAATGAATTTGGCAAAGTAGCAGGATACAAAATTAATGTCAAAATATCGACAGCATTCTTATACACCAATGATGAACTCACAGAAAAAGAAACTAAGAAAATAATCCCATTTACCATTGCAGCAAAAAAATTAAGATACCACCCTGACTGGTTTTGCTCAGCAGTTAGAGCATCAGCCTACGGTCCAGAGAGACCCAGGTTTGGTTCCCGCTAAGGGCATGTACCTCAGTTGCATTTTGTCCTCGGCCCTGGTTGGGTGGTTCGGGTGGCAGCCACTAGATGTGTCCCTTTCACGTTGATGTTTCTCTCTCTCTCTCTCCCTCCCATGCTATCTGAACAAAAAACAAAAAAATTTCCTCAGGTGAAAATAAAAAAAATAAATAAATAGAAATAAAAAAATTAAGATACCTAGGAATCAACTTAACCAAAGAAATGAAGGACCTATTCGCAGAAAACTACAGGTCATTGAAAAAAGAAATAGAGGAAGATATTAAAAAGTGGAAGCACATACCTTGTTCATGGATTGGAAGAATTAACATCATTAAAATGTCAATACTACCCAAAGTAATCTATAGATTCAATGCAATTCCCATTAAAATACCAACAACATACTTCAAAGAACTAGAACAAATACTTCAAAAGTTCATATGGAACCAAAAAAAACCTCAAATAGCCACAGCAATCTTGAAAAAGAAGAACAAAGTAGGAGGGATCACATTACCAAATTTCCAGTCATACTACAAAGCCACTGTAATCAAAACAGCCTGGTACTGGCACAAGAACAGGCATATGGACCAGTGCAACAGAACAGAGAACCCAGAAGTGGACCCAAGACAATATGCTCAATTAATATTTGACAAAGTTAGCAAGAGCATACAGTGGAGTAAAGACAGCCTTTTTAATAAATGGTGTTGAGAAAATTGGATAGCTACATGCAAAAAAATGAAACTAGATCATCAACTTACACCATAAACAAGAATAAACTCAAAATGGATAAAAGACTTAAATGTGACTCATGAATCCATAAAAATCCTAGAAGAAACTGTAGGCAACAAAATTTCAGACATTACACGCAGTAGAATTTTCACTGATATATCACCTAAGGCAACAGAAACAAAGGAGAAAATGAACACATGGGACTACATCAAACTCAAAAGCTTCTGCACAGCAAAAGATACAATCATCAAAATGGAAAGGCAACCCACTGTATGGGAGAGCATAATTGCCAATGATATATCAGATAAGGGGTTAATTTCCAATATATAGAGAGTGCTCATACAACTCAACAAAAGGAAGACAAAGAACCCAATTAAAAAATGGGCAGAGGAACTAACTAGACACCTCTCCAAACAGGACATACAAATGGCTGACACATAAAGAAATGCTCAACATCACTAATCATCAGAGAGATGCACATTAAAACAACAATGAGGTATCACCTCACACCTCTCAGAATGGCCTCCATCAACAAATCATCCAACAACAAGTGTTGGCGAGGGTGTGGAGAAAAGGGGACTCTAGTACACTGCTGGTGGGAGTCCAGACTGGTGCAGCCACTATGGAAAACAATATGGTATTAACCCAAAAAATTGAAAATGAACTTCCATTTGACCCAGTGATCCCACTTCTAGGAATATACCCTAAGAGCCTGAAACACCAATCAGAAAGAATATATGTACCCTCATGTTTGTAGCGGCACTATTTACAATAGCTAAGATCTGGAAACAGCCCAAATGTCCATCAGTAGACGAATGGATAAAAAAGCGGTGGTACATATACACAATGGAGTACTATGCAGCTGTAAGAAAGAAAGAGCTCTTATCCTTTGAGACAACATGGAGGGACCTGGAATGTATCATCCTAAGCGAAACAAGCCAAACAGAGAAAGACAAGTATCAATGTGATCTCACTTATTTGTGGAATATAATTAACATAACAGTCTGAGGAATGGGGTAGTCCCAGAGACGTGGAAGTGTGGTACAGACTGACGATCCCCAGAAGAGGGAGTGGTGGGGAAGAGATAAACCACAGAACTTATATGCATGTGTGCATGACCAATGGACATGGACAACAAAGCTGGGGACAGGGCGGGGAGGGCAAGGGAGAGGGAATCAGTGGGGGAAAAAGGAGAAATATCTGTAACAGAAATAAATTAATTAATTAATAAAAAATTTTTTTAAAAAATTCAACACTATAAAATGAGTGCAGTCTCTAGGTGCTACTTTATCTTATCTTCAAGACTCAGAAAAATCAACACCGAGGTTCAGCTACAAGCTAAATGGAATGGACCCTGTGAAGTCCCTCTAATAAGTTACTTTTCAAAAGAAACAAGTGAGCCCTGCCTGGTTTTGCTCAGTGGTTAGAGCGTCGGCCTGAGGTCCAGAGAGACCCGGATTTGGTTCCCACTAAGGGCACGTACCTTGGTTACATTTTGTCCCCAGCCCTGGTTGGGCCGTGAGGGTGGCAACCACTCAATGTGTCCCTTTCACGTCGCTGTTTTTTTCTCTCTCTCTCCCTCCCACTCTATTTGAACAAAATATCAAAAAATGTCCTTGGGTGAGGATAAAAAAAGAAAAACAGGTGAACAGACCCCATGGGGCCAAGAAAAGAAGATACCCAAGTGTCCATACCAGGCTTACATAAACCTGAATTATTCTATCTTAACTTGCTATTGTTTGGGTTTAAACAATGTTTTCCTTTCCTGGTTGTTGTATTTGCTTGTACAATCCTAGACTTCTCAGCATGTTTCTTGTGCCTTCCTGCACCCTTGCTCATTGTCCCTGATGGGTAGGAAGTGGCTAGAGCCATCATCACCCCTGTTCCCAAGATTAAGGAAAGAACAACAGAAGGGGGAATTTGTAACCTGATCTTGTCCTGTTTCTGACCAGACCCAGAACCAGGGCCCAGCATATGGTGCTCAATACATTTTTGTGGGATACATGTTACTATTATGAGTACATCTTCATGCCATGTCGCTGTAAACATGGTTATCTTTGAGGTTAATATAATTTATGAAATGAGTTTGGGACTCTAACAAGTGGTTTAATGCCTTTCAGTAAAAATCTAATAAATGAACTGGGCGCAGCCATCAATCTTTCCTAAAGTAATTAAGTTCAAATCAAAACATTTAATGCAATGTAAAAAAATGAAACAATATGATAACATTAAAAATGCATACCAAAAACTGACCTCATTTTGGTTTAGTATTTTCCGGTACTCTGTGCTCCGTGCAAGAATCGTGACTCTCATTTTCCCATCCTGTAATCAAAAGGAAAAGGCAGAATAACGTTGCATATGCCTGGGCAGAAGAATGGACACCTAAGCCTAAAAGTGACTTTCACGAGGAGATGAAACTCAACGAGAATACATGTATGGAACTTATCTTAAAATGTAAGCCTAATTCCTTCACAGTTTTCTCAGGGAATTAAAAAAATGCAATTACTTTGGCCACAGAAGACAAAACCAATTCATTATACTTCTGTTTGGATGGCTGGGTAGATTTTTAGCAGAGGTTGTGTGGCTTGGGTGGGGATTTGGGGCTGAGTGAGGAAAATATGGCAAAAAAAAAAAAAAAAAAGAAAAGAAAGAAAGCACATTCTTTCACTATCCCTAGTTTACCTTTCATAAATTGTAGACATCTGATTTCAAATCACTCAGGTTCAGAAACTGTTAACACAGAAAACATTGTCTTCTGAGTATTTCTTTTTCTGCAAAGGTGGCATTGATTTTTTTATCAGGGTGAAGGTCAAGCCCACCTCAAAACCCATAATGCAGTAAGTTCTCGTTTAATATCTCATAGGTTCTGTGACTTTAAGCAAAATAACATATAATGAAACCAATGTTACCATAGGCTAACTGAGTTAAGTTCCTATGGCATCTCATCAACATTAAAATGAAAAGACATTGAGTGAAACAGTATTATTCGAGGACCTGCTGTGTATTCATTACCTTGGGTCCGTCTTGTGTGATGTTCAGTCTGTGCAGAACATGCTGGGAAAACGCCCGGAATAATCCGGTATTTTGACAGCCAGATATCTAAAACAGAAGCAATGGTTCATGTTACGAACATTTCTGTTACTGTTTCAGAGCTTCCCAAGTTATACATAAATGTTATCTTTAAAAATATCAAGAATAAATTTTATAAACATGAATGTTTACAACACATGACATTCTTACCAGAGGGGTATTATAGAACAGCCCATATCTCATCCGGGGGAGTAGTGAAAAAATCGCTTCTTTAAAACATACCTAACAATAAAGACATTTTACAAGGTAAGAAGAAACAATTTATACCCTTCACACCAAAACAGCACTTATAATTACAGGAAAGGAATTTTAATTAACCTCTATATCACCAAAATATTTAGAATAGCAAACTATTTCACTCAAGTAAAATGTGTGGTTTTGGAAAAGCGATGAAGAAATATTATGAAAAGTTACACGGTTAGTAACAATGAGGATTCCAGTTATCCAAAAAGAAACTAAGTCCGGCCAGTGTGGCTCAGTGGACTGAGCATCATCGCAGGGACTGAGAGGTCCCGGTTCAATTCCGGCTCAGGGCACATCACCCAGTAGCAGGCTCAACCACTGGGGGGGGCCTATGGGAGTCAGTTGATCTATGTGTCTCTCTCACATTGATGTTTCTATCTCTCTCTCTCTCCCTTCCTCTCTCTCTAAAAAAAATCAATAAAACATATTTAGCCCTGGTAGGTTTTGCTCAGCATTAGAGCATCGACCTGTGGACCAGAGTCATGGGTTCAATTCCAGGCAAGGGTGCACACATCAGTTGCGGTTCAATCCCCAGCCCTGGTTGGAGACGTGCAGGAGGCAACCAATCGATGTGTCTCTCTCATATCAATGTTTCTCTATTTCTCTCTCTCTCTCCCTCTCTCCTACTCTACCTGAAAATCAATGGAAAAATATCCTTGGGTGAGGATTTTAAAAAAAAATTGAGGAAAAGAATCTAAGAAGTAAGACATCAGTGGTAACAGTACTAGAAACTCATAGTAAGTAGTTATTTAATGAGTGAGTCAAGTCTCCAGTACCCTTTTGGAATCATAGGTTTTCAAAGGTATCACGTCATAGTCAGTAAATGCTTTCCAGGTGTCAGAGAACAGGTCGCCATATCCATAGGAGCTCTGAAAGTGGAAACAAAGCAAGTCAGGGCACAAATCATTCAATGTGGCTTGTCAAGAATTAACAGTGTACCTGAATGAGCTTTTTAATGTGAAAAACTAAAGATCCTAAACAAGCTCATAAAATCCATATAAGAACAATAAGTGTTGGCTGGGAGCATGGCTGTGGGCAACAGCAGAGAAAGGTAAGTGTGTGAGTGGGTGAGGTGTGGAGAGAGAGTGGGTGTGGGGGTGAGTGTGGGTGAGCATCTGCAGGCCATGTGGGAACTGAGGGCAGAGAATCTGGGGGCTATAGGCGGGGGGGCACTGACTACCCATGCGTGCTGCTGGGCCTGGTGCTTCCCCCACCTGGGGCTGGAGAATGCCAACCTTTTGGAAGATCCACCAGATCCTCCTTGGGAGGAGGCAGCAGGGAGCCACTACAGCCCAGTGCCTCAAGGCCATGGGTGGTCCTGCAGCCTCTGATGTGCCTCTGCCAGCCTGCGCTAGGCAGCCACGACCCCACGACATCTGTACATGGCAGCAGCAACAGGGCCACAGGAGCCAAGCCACCACCAGGGAACTCCATACCCTGCAGACCCGGGAAAATCCAGCCCCACCCCGACAAACCCATGCACTCCAGCCATCACCCGACCAGACCAGCACTCGCCAGCCTCGCCCCCTGAATCCATGCACCCCAGCCACACCCACACTGGACCTACACAACACAATAGCACCTCCGCCAGACCTTGCTATGTAGCAGTGTCCCCGCCAGACCCACCCACCTCAGTGGCACCATCGTCAACACGCGAATACGAGCTGTCAACCATCAGTTCTCCTGGACCAACAGCATAGGAGAGGCACCGGCCTGTACCAGCTCAGAGCCACTGACCACACAGGTCCTGTCGCAGACACAAACCACTGGCCCCCACTGTCATTGATGCTGAGAGCTGCACCACCACTGAGAGCCACCTGCGATGCTGCCACTACTGCCGAGAGCTGACATCACCACTGACAACCAGACTGGATCTGAGATCTGGCCCCAACAAGATCCAGCCCCAACAAGATCCTGGACACACCTCCCCTGGCCCTGAACTACCAGACTGCTAAAATGCAGAAACAAACAACTCCCAAATGAAAGAAAAGGAAGAATCACCAAAAAAGTACATGAGATGAAGGCAAACAGATTGTCAGATAAGAATTAAAAATACGGTTTTAAGGGTGCTCCAACAACTTAATGAGAATTACAGGCAACTTAATGAGAAGTATAAAAAACTCAGTGGGAAGTACATCTGCATGAAAAAAGAGGTAGAAGCTATGAATAAAATCAAGTGGAAATGAAGAATGACATAGGTGAAATAAAGACTACCCTGGAAGGATTCAATAGTACATTAGAATCAGCGGAAAACTGAATCAAAAAATTAGAAGACAAGGTAGAAAAAACACCCAATTAGAGCAGCAAATGAACAACAAATTTTTGAAAACAGGAGAGTTTAACAGAGTGTGGACAAAACATGAAACATAACAACATTCGCTTCATAGGGGTACCAGAAGGAAAAAAAATCAGAGAAAGGAATAAAGAAACTGTTTGAAATATAATGACAGAAAACTCTCCTAATCTGGTAAAGGAAAGAGTTACACAATTCCAGGAAACACAAAGAGTCCCAATAAAGATGAAGCAAAAAAGACCCACACTTAGAAACATCATAATAAAAATGGCTAATGTTAAAGACAAAGAAAGAATATTATGGAACTAAGACAGAAACAGAAAGTTACGTACAAGGGAGCTCCCATTACACTGTCAGCTAATTTCTCAATAGAAACATTTCAGGCCCGAAGGGAGGAACATGAAATACACAAAGCAATGAAAACTAAAGGCCTGAATCCAAGACCACTCTATTCAGCAAGGTTATCATTGAAAATTGAAGGTGAAATAAAGAAATTTACACACACAAAAGGCTAAAGGAGTTATTACCATCAAACCAACATTGCAAGAAATGCTAAATAAACTCTAGTAAAAAGAAGAAGAAACAGAGAAAGAGAGGAAAACAGGCATAAAGAATAAAAATGGCAACAAATAAGTACCTATCAATAAAAACCTTAAAGGTAAATGGTGTATGCTCCAATCAAGACGTAGGGTAGCTGATTAAATAGGAAAACATAACCTGAGATTTCCAAAATGGCAGCAGAGTGAATGGAAGCTACATAGACCATCTCCCAGGATCAAACTGGAATCACAACTAAAATAAAGACAAATCATCAGAAAAAGGCAACAGGAAAGTAGCTGCAGAGGACCATATAACCAGGGACAGGAAAAAAAAAATACAACTCTGAATCAAGCCTGGTAGGTCTGCAGAGGCACAAGAGGGAGGCTGGGAACCCATGGAAAGCAGCTATTATAGCTGTGAGCAACTCTCCCATGGTTAAAATCCCAACCAGATTCCACAGAGCAGAGTGCCAAGACAGAGCATTAAATTAGTTACAGCCACTCACCTTGGGCTCCAGCAGAGGGAGGGTGAACTGGATTGGAACTCTGTACGAACACCCAAGATTTGGAGGGTACTCAAAGTTTTTGCTGAGTCTCAGCCACACAAAACGGTGGCCATCTTGCTCCTTCCCAGGGCTCTGGGGAGAAACAGCGGGCCCTCCCTTGGACATTTAACCCCACCAAGCTGGGCCACAAAAATGCAAATTGAGGCTCATTAACAATCAGCATCTGCCCCACCCACTAATTCTCTTACGATGAACACCTGAGGGAGTTTTTCATTCAACTAAGGGCTACAACCCAAGGCTTATCAAGTAACTGAGACTAATAGCCTCCAGGCAAGAAGCTAGAGTATAACTGAACCTTTGGTGGGCTTGCAAATCTATCCAGAAAAGTAAGACGTAATAGTGGTATTGAACATGGGTCCTCCTACACTCATCCAAACCTAGTAGAGGGAGCCACAAAGAGCAGAACACCAACAACCACAGGGAAAATTTGGGAGGCTCCAAAACCCACTGAGATAGCCAAAATGAGGAAACAAAGAAAAAATTCCCAATTGAAAGAACAAGAGAACTCTATTGAAGATGAGATAAATGAAATGCAGTTAAGCAAGTTATTGGAGGTAGAGTTTAGAGCCATGATCTTGAGGAAGATCAACAGCATGAGTAGAGACATCAACACCATGAGTAAAGATAGAGAAATACTGAAAACCAACCAAGTGGAAATGAAGAATGGCATAGCAGAAATAAAGAACACACTGAAAGGACTAACAGCAGAGTAGAGGAAGCTGAGGACCAGATCAGTGAATTAGAAGACAGGGTAGAAAAAATCAACCAATCAAAAAACAAAAAAGAAAAAACAATTAAAAAACAGGAAGACAGCTTAAGAGAACTGTGGGACAACTGCAAACATAATAATATTCGCATCATAGGAGTCCCAGAAGAAAAAGAAAATGAGCAAGGAATAGAGAATATATTTGAAGAAATAGTGTCAGAAAACTTTCCTAATTTGGTGAAGGAAGAAGGCATTCAAGTTCAAGAAGCTCAGAGAGTCCCAAGTAAGAAGACCCCAAACAGGCCCACACCAAGACACATAGTAATTAAAATGCCAAAAAATAAAGACAATGAGAGAATCCTAAAGGCAGCAAGAGAAAAGCAACAGGTTACCTACAAAGGAACCCCCATTAGGCTATCAGCTGACTTCTCAACAGAAACACTACAGGTCAGAAGGGAATGGCAAGAAGTAATCAAGGTAATGAAAAACAAGGATCTGAATCCAAGACTACTCTATCCAGCAAGGCTATCATTCAAAATAGAAGGTCAAATAAAAAGTTTCCCAGACAAAAAAAAAAAGGCTAAGGGAATACATTAGCACCAAACCAGCACTGCAATAAATGTTAAAAGGACTGCTGTAATTAGTAGAAGAAATAGGAAGAAAAACAGAACCACACTAAACAAAAATGGCAATAAATAAGTACATATCAATTATCACCTTAAATGTGAATGGTTTGAATGCTCCAATAAAAAGACACAGAGTAGCTGACTGGATAACAAAGCATGACTCATATATACGTTATTTACAAGAGATCCACCTCACAACAAAAGACTCACATAGGCTGAAAATGAAGGGATGGAGAAAAATCTTCCAAGCAAATGGAAAGTAAAAAAAAAAGCTGGGGTGGTAATACTCATATCTGATAAAATAAGTTTCAAAATGAAGGCCATAACTAGAGACAAAAAGGTCACTACATAATATTGAACAGATCTATCCAACAGGAAGATATAACCTTGGTAAACATATATGCCCCCTACATAGGAGCACCAAAATATATTTAAAATCTTCTGGAGGACATCAAAGGAGAAATTGACAGTAATACAATCATAGCAGGGGAATTCAACACCCCGCTGACATCACTAGATAGATCATCTACACCAGTTGTTCTCAACCTTCCTAATGCCACAACCCTTTAATACAGTTCCTCATATTGTGGTGACCCCTCAACCATAAAGTTATTTTTGTTGCTACTTCATAACTGTAATTTTGCTACTGTTATTAATCGCCATCGGAAATATGTGTTTTCCGATGGTCATAAGCAACCCCTGTGAAAGGGTCATTCATCCCCAAAGGGGTTGCGACCCACAGGATGAGAACCGCTGCTGTAGACAAAAAAATAACAAAGAAACACAGACTCTAAATGAAGCACTAGATCAAATGGATGTAATAGATATCTACAGAGAATTACACCCCAAAACTACAGAATTCACATTCTTCTCAACTGTACATGGGACATTTTCAAAGACAGACCACATGTTAGGACACAAACTAAGTCTCTACGAGTTCAAGAAGATTGAAATCATATCAAGCATCTTCTCAGTTCACAATGGCATGAAACTAGAAATCAAATGCAGCAAGAACATGCAAAAACATCTGAACACATGGAGGCTAAATAGCATGTTATTAAACAATGAATGGGTTACCGAGGAGATCAAGGAAGAAATTAAAAACTTCCTGGAAACCAATGAAAACGAACACATAACAA